CGACGATATGCTGAGGTCCCCCCCCCCCCAGTTTGATCCTAGTCCCCGACTCTCCCCCCCCCCCAGTGTGATCCTAGTCTCAGACTCTGCCCCCCCCCCTTCTTACAGCCCAACAAAAAAGGATTTTCCTCAAAGCCAAACTTTCAATGTTCCTGGTTTGAATCCGTCCTGATCAGGTGATGACATCATCAATATCCACCTGGACTTCCTACATTTATGTTCCCTCTCTACTTTACCTCTAAATGTTCCGTCTTCTGCGTCTGGGCCAGGACACCACTGTCTCTCAGGGAGTTCTCCAGCTCATCGTGCTACGAGAGAACAGTGAGAACAGTGAGAGTCACATGATCATCAGAACCAAACGTCAGTTGACTTTAATGGTACACGTTGTGTAGAACTGACCTGTTGTTGACACTGACTCAGAGACTGCAGGACCAGACACTTGTCCTCCAGGAGCTGTGTGACCTGAGCAGCCATCCACTGCTCTCTGCCTGGAAACAAGGGGTTCATTTACTCAAACCCAGTGTTGGTGATTTGATCACTTTCTTGGTGATAAACTGAACTGTGATTCATGTTGGTAGTTTGAGACGTGAAGTGAAGAACTTACTTCTGTACATTCTGCTTCTGAGCTGTGAGAAAACACAGAGAAGAGAAAGGTTGAGGTTCAGGAGCTGCTGTGGATCCACAGAGTAGTACTGTGTACTGTGTACTGTGTACTGTGTACTGTGTACTCACAGAACTGTAACATCTGCAGGTGAACAACACCACCGTCACCAGGCCCACCAAACAGGTGAGGATGACCGGTTCCCATGGTAACCCGTACAGGTCCGGTCCAGGTCTGATGTCATCGGGCAGTGAAGAAACAACCTGAGAAAACAGACGGTAGAGGTCGTGTACCTCCTCCTCTACATACAGTACACACTGGTACTGCAGTACTGCAGTACTACTGGAGGTTCCTGTTGGCGAAAGGCGGGTTCTGACGTATTTATTTACACTTTTAAACAAGTAAAACCACAGCCTGTGGCTCAGCGGCCCGGGTTTATCAGAGGGTCACAGGTTCGAGTCCCGCTGTGGTCAAATGTGGTACGCTCAGCAACCACCACCTCCCTCGCTCCCTGAACGCTTCTGTTAATAATAATCTGTAATCTGTGATTAAGATCGTTAGACATTGTGCTTTTGTTGATTTAAGTTTCATTGACGTTTTGTCTCAAACCCACTGGAGGTGTACAGCCCCAGACAGACCAGGCGTTTTACCTCAGCCTCCTCAGACCTGACGCTTCTTTGCATTATAATATCTACATGTCTACAAAAATGCAAACGATGGTCAAAAACTGACGAAACTAGCCTGTTAAACGCGTTTACAGCGCCCCCTACAGCAACTTGTTTAGAGTTGAGGTACACTAGAACACATTTAATATATAAAGTGCTATTAATTTGATATTTATAGACTGTTGTCAGATTTTAGTGCTAAAGCTAACAAACAGCAGACAGCTGTAAACATACGAAACACTGTTGACCAGCCATCATGTGACCATATGGAGCCGCAGTCTGTGTGTTTTTAATGAATTAGTAACATAAATAAAATCAAAAAGGAAACGTAAACCAAATACCGACACACGTAGCTACTGTCTGTAAATGACAGTTCTGTCAGCTGTGAATGCTAATGGTAGAAGCTAACGAAACCTGCCACACAACGTACATCCTTCACTTTCTCCACCGCGATGCTGTAGTAAGCCTCCGCCGTGGCCTGGAAGTCGGCGCCGCTGTTGGAGAACTGCTCACTCGTCGGACGGTCCGCCATATTTCATTAGGCTTCTCTAACCTGTTTCTACAGACATTACACGCTGAAAGTACCGCGTCAGCCCGGCCAGCGACAGCCGCACATCCTGCTCACAACAAGGGACGCTCCGGAAGAGACCAACGTGGCTTGACGTCACAGGGGGGAAGGAAGACCGGGTTCTAGACTTAAAACCCCTAAAACGGAACTTATGATCGGTAACGTCTGAGAGAAATGACCGCAACAGTTTTAAAAATGTTCAAAATAACTATATTTATAACATAACTTAATTTTAAATACATAAATGTAAACTCTAACAAATGTTTTTACCCCCGGTCTGTTCAGATGGTTCAGTCCAAACGTCACCAATTGTAAAATGCCACAGTGACACGTCGGAGAGAAGAGGGAGCTCCACGGAGAGAAACAGGTGTTACTGAGAAGTAACTGTTACACCCGTTACACCCGTTACATTTGACATTTGAGTCCCTGCGTTACCGACGGCAGTACATCAGAGTACTGTACACCAGAGTACTGTACACCAGAGTACTGTACA